GAAAAATGTTTCAGGTGTTCTCAGTCCACTCGGACAAAACGAAATGTGGTTATGATCAAGACGTAAACCTTGATGAGGTAATCAGTAACATGAACAGTGTTAAAGAATATTTCGAAAACCTTGTGTGCAGGATTAGGGAACACGTCTAGAAACCAAACTTGTGTCCTGAAGGAGCCCACGGTTCACCAGCTTACATCACAGTTGAAGCAGTGACCTGGGTGTTAGACACCCTGAAGTCATTAAAGGCGGTATTCAACAATGTAAGATCAGATTACATGCAGGCCTTCTGCTCGCTTTCAGTTCTCACCCTGGCAGTGGAGCACTTTTTTTCGAGCATGCGTGAACGGTATCCCATGTCGTACTTGTTACAATATGACCAATTGTTGATGCCTACCATACAGGAGACTGTGAAGCAGCTAACAAATACATCTTTCATTTACTACACTCGGAAGACAGCCCACTATACGGATCCGGCAGCGTCAATCCGTTATTCAAATTTAATATGGCCGGAAAAACCGCCAAAAGTAACAGTGTCAGTTCAAGATCTTCAGTTACTACAAGAATGGCAGAGGCAATACCGTTGGGGTGTTCGGCAGCGATCTGTCCGAGACATTGGCAAGTATGATGCTGGTACTCTGCCATCGTTTGCAAGTGCAGAAGAGACAAATCCAGCTGAGGTAGGCTGCAACACAATGCGTTTTGAAGGAGAGCAGACTGTAGAGGAGAATCAACCACTGGTCGGTGTAGAGGTACATAGCTCAACGCCAGTCTTGTTCAAGAAGGGAGAGCTTTTAGCTGTCAAGCCTGGATTTGAAATAAATGCACCAAGTCAGCTTTCGAAAGAAAACTTCCACATTGTGGTGACTGAATCAGATGTTCCTGACAATCCGAATGAGACGGCGGCTATTGATGTGATGCGATTCAGTGTCTCCAACTGAGACAATAGATGAAGAGTTTGGCTGCTTTGTGGCTGTGGGATTGGGGATGGTTTTAAAAAGGGGCATCTTGTTTCCCCTGGCAGGAAATGACATAAACGAGAGCATGGCTGGTGATAGCAACCAAAACGATATTGTGTATATCTCGGACTCGTGTTATTCGCGCATTTTAAACTCGATAAACAAACGAAATCCAACAGCTTTTGCAATAGCAGAAGTAACCGATGCAGAGCTGGAGGATGACAACCTGGCGCTTGAACAGTTTTTGGATAGTGAGTTCGATGGTGTTGACGGAAGACATGAAGCAAATGCTGTTCTTCATTCCCCGAAAGGAATTGCCGAAATTCGAAGCCGTAGAGAAAGGGGTGTAAGGAAGCGAAACTTTGATGACATGGTTTACTACTAAAAAGGTACCCCGATCAACAGTGTCATTAGTGCAGCCAGTTGTAAGGGAGACGTGACAACATATTATTCAAGTAGCGTCAGCTTTTTCTCAACTGCCGCTGACAATTGAGTGTCCAGTGTTATATAAAATCACGTGTGTCACTTTTTTTTAAGTGAAAATGTCTTTCAGTTACCAATATCGGGTCATTAATGCTCTCGCGCAAAACAATTCTAGATATAAAAGCGACCAAAAGCGACGATTTGATGAAAAAAGCGACACGAAATCGACGTTCGTAAGCACCCATAGAGAGGCTCGCAAGTGCGACGTTAAAACTGAAGACGCGTTATCGATATATTATCCGTCTTACCAAGACGGATAAAACGTCTAGGACGAATTTAATTTACCAGATGAATTTAATTCGTTTTAGACGTCGCGCTATCGTCGAATTTAATTGCTTATGGGACCTTGAATTCAATTCGACTGTAGCGCGACGTACAAACTAGGTAATAATAATAATAATAATAATAATAATAATAATAATAATAATAATAATAATAAACAATCTTTAAGGAGGAAGCGCCCGTCACGTAAATACGTGGTTTTCAGGGAGGTCCTTCGTAAAAATAAAAAGTATTCAAAGCTAGAATAAGAAATACAATTGTCACAGATCTAAAACGGCGAGGTCTAAGAAGCTCGCGGCGAGGTCTACGAAGCTCGCAATCGTTTGCTTATCCAGCCATGTTTGAGTGGAGTTAGAATCGACGGTGGGGAGGGGAGGGGGGCAGCGATAGGCCAAGTATTCACTGCCCCACCCTTTACCCTCTCATTCCCTTTTTGACTGTCGCTAACCACCTTGATACAAATTTCTATCTCTCCCTGGCCTTCCGGTGCTGTAAATATCAAAGATGGCAGCTATCATTTTCACCAAGATAATTCTGAGCATTTGCCTGCCGAATAGTGTCTGCTTTGCTGTCTTCCACACAGCCGTTGTTTGGTCTTGTCACGCAACGAGCGGGGGCGTGGGGAAGAACGTCGCGTGACCAGACCAAAGAACGGCTGGGGGAAGGAGACTGCCAAAGGGCCCCGCTGGTTGCCTTTTATTTATTACCTTTCACCCCATGAGGCCTCATTAGGGGGGGGGGGGGGAGGTCTGAGTATCCCTTATCCTATCAATTTTTGTCCTAAATATCTTGTATCCCATTAATTCTTGTAGTTTGTATACCCTTTATTCCAGTTCAATAATTTGGGATCTCCCTTTCAAATGATAATGATAAAGAAAAAAAAAGAAAAATTCACAAGAGGTAGTTCTCAGTACACATGTGCAAGTCCAGAATGACTTTATTCAATTTGCAAGAAAAAACTTTCTCAAGTTGTGCCAGCACTGATACAATAAAATAAATGCATTGCTGTGGTCACGAGCAAAGACAGGAACATCAGCACACAAGGCAGACAATGCTAAGAACCAATCAGATTACAGGATTTACTTCTATTCCTTCTTAGAATATAACAAGCACAGTTTTAAGTTCAAATACAGTGGTTTCAAAACAAGCTGGCGACCGCCGAAGTTCCGCCGGCTACTTGATCGTATGTCGCCGACTACTCTAGTTATGGTCATAACAGTCTGCTCGTGACAAACAATCTTGGCATTATCACAGCTGCCTACTTTTCCAGAGTCAGCCACCTACTTCAAAAGATTTTGAAACCCCTGCAAATACTGGTAGAATTTCCTTCACTCCATCCTATCTTGTGAAGGTTTGACCCATGGCAAGTTTGCCAGAAGTAAAGGCTTTTTATTTCTAATGGGGGTAAGTAGAAAGAGGGGGGTTGAGTGGGGGAAAAAGTATACCAAAGCCTTTTTTAAGTTCTATATACATGGCAGCAAGTTCCAATTAAATATGGCAGTCTCAATAAATAAGTTGTCAGTAGTCCAGTATTAATACCACAAAAGTTAACTGGTACTGTTTGTTTTGACATTTCCTACATAAATATGTCTAATTTTGTTCAAAATCCCATTTTCAATCCTTGTCATTAGCCAAAACCTGGCCTTTAAACACCACTATAAAAACGGAATATTTTTATCTCTAAAACCCTGTCAAAATAGGGTCAACAAAATACGTCTGTTGAAAAAAACATACACTTACAAATTTGGAGAAGACATTTTTATCATAAAGTTCTTCTGCACTAATTTTCTCCCTCTAGGAGAGGAAGTCATTTCTTCATAATGACAAGAACTGCGAGCCCGTGAAATAAATTTAGTTATTCTTAACAAAAGTTGAGAGTGCATCTCTTCTGTAAACTGACTAAAATTGACTTGCTTTAAATATCTACATGACTTCACGAGTGAGTAGATGGAAGCTTCATCAACACCAAAGCAACCAAAGGCATCCAAATAGGTCAAATTTGGACAATTTTCAGCAAGAGAAAATACTGAGTTACTTGTGATTTGAGCACAGGACTGTGATCCTCTAAAAGAGACATCGAGATATTGCAACTTGTTGCAGCTATGAGTTATACTGATAATGCCACTGTCTGTGATTCTATGGCATCCAGCAACACAAAGGTATTTTAACCTTGGACAATTCTTAGCCAGCTGTTTTAAAGTTTTGTCTGTGAGCTTGGTGCAGTAGGAGAGATCCACATGATGAAGGAATATTAGTGAGTTTTTGACTGAGTTAAAGTCCAGGTCAGAAACATATGAACATACTTGCATATCTAGGCATTCAAGGTTCTTACAATTTTGCAGAATATCATTTATACTGCCATCTGTCACACGCAAGCATTCAGATATCTCTAAGCTCTTTAAACATTTACAGAAGGTTGCTAGAAGTTTCAAAGACACATCAGAAATTCCTAAACAACCACAAATATTGAGACCATGCAACTTCTCACAATTTGTTGCAATGGCAGCAATTCCAATGTCTGTAACTCCCTGGCACCATTTGACATTTAACTGATGTAAATCAGGGCAGTTTTCTGCAATTCTTTGTATTGCTACATCAGTAATGTTTCCAGCAGGTCTTGGCAGTTCACAGCCACAAACATTCAAACACTGAAGCTTTTTGCAATGTTCTGCCAATGTTTCAATTGACACATCCGTTATACAAGGACATCCTTCTGCTATAAGCTGCAATAGGTTTGGGCAAACCTGTGCAACAATTGCAATACCTGCATCATTGATGCTAGGACAAAAAGAAACATCAAGAGATTGTAACTTAGGAGAAGAACAAATAAACTCACATAATACATTGCTGTTAAGTTCCATACAACAAGGCAGGCCTATGCTGAGAAAATTGAACATATTTGAATCAGAAATCAGATCTTCTTCGTCAAAAATGCCTGCGCCGTGGAAGTAGATTCTTTTCAAACTATCACTCCCTTTCGCTGCCGTGAAGAACTGATTTGTTAGGAAGAAATAGGATTGGACTGAACCTTCTTCCTTCTCACAAGTGACTGTCAATTCCTGAAGTGATTTACAAGATGTAATCAAGTCCTTTAGAACGTTGCATGTCACATTTGTTTTATATACCGTGACTTTCAAGTCACGAAGAAATCTGCAATTTTTTAAAATCACTTTCAACCCCTGGTCAGACAGCAATCGACAGCCTTTCAGATCAAGAATTTCCAAATTGCGACACTTTTTGGCAATAAGTTCCACACATGAATCATTCACTTGGCTACAGTTTGAAAGAATAACTTCTTTTATGTTGCCACACCAGGATAAGACGTGATTCAAGGCTTCATAACGGAGTCCTTCGCAGTTTGGAAAATGCAATTTTTCCCATAAACTGGAATCTCTTGACAGTCGAGACCATTTCTTGCACACACAACGAAGTCTAAACAAATTATATATGCGTTCTCCAGCTACAAAAGAGAAAATGTTTAGGATAACAGCCTCTGGTAAATCTTGGAACGTAATTTCTGTTGTCATTTCTCCAAAAGAGCTGCAAAGCGCTACTCGATTTCAACTTCCACCATTTAATTTTTGCAAAACAGAGACAGATTGGAATCTAGTTTCTAGCTCCTGCATCTCTCCAAAATGTCCGAGAGAATCAGCTGATTAAGAATTCCCTGGTAACAAGTAATCAAGAGAAGTTGTTCTAGATCTTCGCAATTAGGGCTGGCTTATTCATTTCTTTACTAATTGATTTGGCGCCATGAAGCTGAAGAGGTACTTTGCCAACTCCACCTTCCAAATTGGACGTCATTAGTACTGAACATCCGACACCAGATAACTATGTGATGTTTGGCTAATTATTTCATAAAGCAATATTGACGACGTAAGCCCAGTCTCTTTCTACCAGTGTGCTAGCGCCGCCCACCAGCAACTACTGCTGCTCAACTTTGGAAGTTATGCAATAAGAGCAAATTATCTCTCTGGAAACTAGTCACCGAACTGAACGAAAAAGGAAAATAGTAGCTTTACCCTTTGACCTCTGACTGCATGAATAGCATCAACTTTCTCCTAACAATATCACTTCTGAAACACGCATCTAGGTTTCCAGAACAAAGGAAATGATCACCAACTAAAGAAGCACTCGATTGTTATGTAAATTCTCCTTCGTCAGCACATCAAGAAATATATAGAGAACAGTATGGAGAATATGTATACTGATGTTAGGCCCTAAAGGGTTAAAACAATGAAGGAATGCCTAGCCAAGAAAGAAAATTCCCCACGAGAGAAGCACTCCACTTCAATCGCAAACTGTTAAGCTAAGTAAATCTTAGAGCGGAAAGATTTGTTTTGGAGTAAATTGCTGTTTGTGGCACTGCAGATTAGGACGATGTTTGCACAGCAGTTTCAAATATATTAAATTTCAGGGAAAACGTAGAGATCGTATTTCACTCCTACAGTAATACAAAACGATGATTTCACCCAAACAGTGCGCCACCCTGTAAAACAAAATGATCGAACTATTGATTTTCAGGAAGACCTGTCAATTAAAACTCTGAAATGATATGTGTAAGGTTACCCATAAATTTCATTAAGATTACCAAGCGGTGTAGAGTAACACGATAGGAATTGATACAAATAAACTCAGAACTTGTGTTCTCTTTTAGTCAACTTTTTTAATAGTAAACTTGTATCCAAATAATTTGTGATTTGGGAAAATTTTCAGGAGCTTCACATCCCAAAAAATTTATTGACGATATTTTCTGCGAGTTTATAATGCGGAAGAGATATTTTTTTTCTTTGCCAAAACCCGTGCCGTGCGTGCGAGTCCGTGGGAACTGTGCCAGCGCGCAAGCTTTAACAGATCAAATGTGGGCACTGAAGCGCAACAAAAGTACCAGATGCTGCAGACGTGAACTGAACGCCAACAAAAACCTTTTACTATCAACACACAATAGAATACCTAGACAATTAAAGTTTGAAATGTTTATTTTAAGAGTGTACAAGCCACTCTCTTCGTATCTTCTGATTATTCGTTGTGTGGTCGATAGATTTACATCTGTGGGTAGATAGCAGACCATTTGTAACAGAAGCCACATTACTAATATCAAAATTGAGAGTTGAAACAGCACTCTTTAATTGGCAGTGTAATTTTGCTTTGGACTGATTAGCTGCGAAGAACAATTACGCTGTCAATAATTAACTCTTACCTAATTATCTAACACGTTTGTGACGCCCGCTTAAATACTGCCTTGGTGACGTAGAATTTCTTAAGTAAACCAATTTGCATTACAACAGAAAGTTGTCGGTTTTTGGGCAGCTCGTCTTAATCGTGTTTTTCAACAAACCGTTCTCCTAGCTACAAGAGGCAATGTGTAAGACGTGAATAAACATATCGAAGATGTAGTTCTGAAGGGAATTTATTAATCCGAATGTAGGGAATGGGGTGCAGTGAATCCAAACCAGCCCAAAGCAACGAGACATCCGAAGCTGAAGCAATTATTTCTTCTAATGGAAACGGATCACAGGAAACAGAGACGGTAAAAACCAGTGGAATGGATAATTCGCTGCAAGAAGTGAACCCAATGCAATTAAATTCCTCTCACGAAGGCGTTAAAAGACCTGAGCAATTGAGCATTATGAAACCACCGAGAGCGAGGCCATCCAGTTTGGAAAATGCCTGGGGTAACACAAGAGTCGTGAATAAAAACCTCGAAAATGCTTTCAATAAGCCCCAAGTACAAAAGGTGGAAGATTTTGGAAGCGAATATGGAAAAGACGGTGTTGATTTAGCTTCAAGTCAGGTCCAAAACGGACAGGACACTGACAAGTTCGTCAGTAGCTCTCTCGGTACGCGAACATCCCCCGATGGTACGTACAGCGTTAATTACAATGAGCGACTGAACTTCCAAGAACGCCCTGGTATCCATAAGGTAAATATAATGCTAATAACCTAAGAGAGTGTCTTAAAGCACAGTGTATGGGTAAATAAGACCAAATAACCGTTCATTTAACTTATCTTACATTCACCTCTAGCCCTAGATTGTTTTTTAGGATTTTTTCAGTTCCCGCCTCCCATTTGACTCACTCTGGGCTGATTTGTGAAATATTTTTTTTAGAGCAATAATTGATTTCAAGGTGACTTTGATACCTCACAATTACCTTTGGAAAAAGTGACTTAAAATAAATTGAACTCACATGACAGGCAGGTTGAGGTCGCAAACTAAGTGATTTCTCTCTCTCTCTCTCTTTTTTTTTTTTTTTTCCATCCCCTTGGCAGGTAGAATCAGATGAATCTTTCGATCCGTCGAAATTAATAGATATTGAAAAGTTTAAAGCGGCGAATGCCCCAGGAAAACAGGTATGGAAGATAAAAATAAATTGTCATGATTGACGAATTTTCTGGTACTTTTCCTCGATTTTCTTTCTCCTATGTATGACGATGAAAATTATTAGTTTTGCAACGACGTCATTAATTACATCCATGATGGGATATAAATTTTTGTAATTTGTTTTAAATCGTGATAAAATCCCTATTTTCGATCAATAGACTGCTGTAGAGAAATTGCCGTGTAAAATGTATGCATCCGACTCAGATGTTTTGTTTTTTTTCTAACGTTATTCGCAGTTGTAAACCGGGGATTTTCCCTTATAAGAAACGGAAAGAGACAAATGAAACATTGGTAGTTGCTCAGTTCTAGAGCTGGCTGTTTAAATATTTGAAAGTTAGGAAAATTTACCTACATACCAAAGAATGAAGTACTTGCTAAATGTTCCGTGCGAAAATTAATGAATGGAATTAAATTGTCCATACATTTTCCCGACGTAAAATAATGAATTCATCTCAATCTTTTAACAACTTAAATTCGAGGTCAAAAGAGGATGTATTTCGTCAATAAACAGTAATGTCACTCGATTAATCGAAGACAAATTCTTTTATTTCATCAAAAATTTATAGATAAAATAAGTCAATTGATTGATTAAATGTGTATTTTTTCCAAAGGAAAAAAAACTGTTAGCTAACAGCTAACTCTTACTTTCCTTGGTTTCAGGTGCAAACGGCCACTGCAAAGCCAGGTAAGAACATGGATACTTTTTGCAACGTAACGCGTTTTAACCCAGCCTGAATGAAAATAATTATCACCATAACGTTGTTTTGACCAATAATTATTTACAAACGAAACTCCCTTATCTGCAAACAAAATATTTTCTTTTCTAATGCAGTTTGAAGCTAATATAGAGGGAAATTAGCTTTGCAACTTAAATATACTCGCTCAGTGATAGATAAAATAAATTAAATATACGAGAAACAAGAACTTGATGTTTTCTTTGGGAACAGTTTTCTTGTGTCTCGCGGTTATTGTGCAGTGAGTGAGCTCGAAGAAACACCAAATTACCATAAAATTACGGCAAATGATAATGTCGATAGGCCGAAAGAACTTTATAAATAGTTGACCGTCACCTTTGAAAAACGGGGCACAGAGGAAATAATTTCCCCATAGGTGGTATGGAACAAAACCTTAAACTAACTTTACATTGGACGCAATTACACAGAAAAATAAACCAAATATTAAGCTTTCGTGGCCACAGCAGATCTGGCGAAAGGCTGCTTGACTCACTCCTCATCCTTTGTTCAGTATTTCAGCCAAGAATTTGAGTTCAAATTGTTTGCTTTTTTTTTTTTTTTAGCGGCGATTTTGTTGCGCGAGAAGCGTGCGCAGCGTGGCCTTTTGGAATAGGTTCCAATCACTTTCTAATTTCTCACTATATTTGTGTAGTTTTTCGTGCTTTCTTCAACAAGGACTCGGCATGTGGTTTTAATTGCTGTACGATACTCATTACTGCCAATGGGAAGTTGAAGCAAAGAAAAGCGAAGTAACATTAACAAATTTAAGATTTGCTTTTAGGGTTGGCTAAATGATAACGACGTCTGGTTTTCCAACCTCATTCCCAGGACTTTTCCCTTTTTGAAAAAGGGAAAAGCCCTGGGAGCGAGTTTGCTGGTATTCGTGCTGAGACCGAACTTACTCATTCGTTAATTTATCCACTTTAATTTACTTATTTATTTATTTATTTATTCATTTACTTACTCAGTGGTTTGAGCCTAAGAGTTTCTTGGGATGTTTTAAAGCTACTTGCTTTGATATTTTGTCAAACTAACGCAGACGTGACCAAATAAAAATATAGATTTGTTTTTTTTGCTTTGATGAAAAGGGGATTGTAGTGAAAGGCAGGCAAGGAATATTTTATGTGGCTCAATTCATAATCGGATCCTTGAGAACAATGTGGTTTACTCAATGTGGTTTACTCCCCCAAAAGGAAGAGTTGTAGATACGCACTGAAGCGCAAAAGCGATTTCACTCTCCCCATATGCAAAACCGAGCGCTCGAAGAACAGTTTTATTTTTAGCCACATTTATAAGATGTAAATAATTTTCCTTCTTTCTTAATGACGAAGTTGTAATATTTTATACTTCTTTCTTTACCATGTGCATTTGTAAATATTCCGTAATTCAGCCTATGGCTGCAAGGAGATTATAATAAAGTATGAATGTATCTATCTATATTCGCAAAGGAAACATCAGGATACCTAAAACTCTTAGCACTTTCATAAGAGGACTAAACGGAATAAACATGTCATATATGACTCATTGGGTGTCGTGGGCGAAAATGTAAACCGGGATTTACTCCATTATTCCTGTCGTAAAGATCTAGAATTCTATTGAATCAACTTTGCTCAGTATTTGCTATTGACTCGCCTTTATGTTGTGAAATAAAATCTATTCGAAAAAAAAAAAAAACAATCAAAAACAACCTATATTCGATGACTTTTCGTATCGGGAATCATCCAAATTTCTTCCAAATTTCAACGGCCATTATTCTTTTCCTATTTCAGAATTGTCCAAATTTGATACCGACGTAAACCACAACGTCTGTGATGTCTCGAGTAATGCGGCTAGGTAAGATTCATACGTATTGTTCAGGTACTCTAGTATTTGCCGAAATCTTTTCACATCTTTCTTTTCCTTCCTCTGGTTTCATTTCTTGCTTGCTTCCTTTGTGGCCTCGTTTGTCATACTTCCTGTTTCTCCGTCCTTCTGTCCGTTGCTGGTCTCTCCTACGATACGTCTATCTGCTTGTCTGACAAAGTCTCTTTTTTTGGCCATAGCATTCCATGGTCTGTCGGTCATTAGTCTTTTCGCATTCCTCTCTGCTGCCAAATAATTTGGATATATCAACAAAGTTGAAATGGTAAATTGGCCACCGTAACGATTGCAAAAGCTGACGTTTCTTGTGTCAGCCCTTCGTCGGAGCGAATAGAGGAATAGTGGGTTGTGTGTGCTTTTAAAGGCAGAAAATGGTGCTACTTTATTGGTGGGAACATGGCAACGAGAAAAACACGAATAAATTAGTGGAATGAAAAGCGTTCGATTGCAAAAGCTGACGTTTCTTGCGTCAGCCCTTCGTCGGAGCGAATAGAGGAATAGTGGGTTGTGTGTGCTTTTAAAGGCAGAAAATGGTGCTACTTTATTGGTGGGAACATGGCAACAAGAAAAACACGAATAAATTAGTGGAATGTCTGCTGCCAGCCTGTCTTTCTATCTGTCTTTTGTTTTCCTTTTATCTTTCAGTTCATCTTCCACCTCGCAGTTTCTATTCATTTTTTTTTTGCTTCTCTTAACTTGTCTTGTATTTATTTCAACAGTAATGCCAAAACTGAGGCAGAAAGGCCACCAAACTACAACGAAATCTACAACGACGATGAAAAGCAACTGATTGCCAGTATAGAGAATGACTTTGAAACAGCTCTGCCTGGATCTGTGTTTTAACAGAAAACGTCATCTCTTAGCAAATGTACGGTATTTTCATAATCGCCTGTCAAAGAATAATTCACAACGCCAGGAAACTTGTTCATTTTAGATGAAACTAACATTTAATTGAGAAAGATTATTAAGATCCGCCCTAATCTGCTTAAGATCCAGAACAATTAGAAGGCCCAGATTGGATTTTACTAATGTAGACCNGGATATGAGATGATTATAGCCAACTCGGCGCTACGCGCCTCGTTGGCTATCTATCATCTCATATCCAACGCGCGCTTGTGGAATAATTGTTAAATATTCATTACTATTTTAATTTAATAGAGAAAGATGTTTTTCGTCTCGTCACGAGCGTGGGACAAGGAATGAATTCTGAGTTCCCACGAGGACTCGAACCGCTGACCTTTACATTCCTCGCTCTGAAACTCCATTTGAGTTCCGAGACAAACCTCCTTTACATTCCTCGCTCTAAAACTCCATTTGAGTTCCGAGACAAACCTCCTAATGATATAAGTGACTATATGATCAAACTGTTGGGGCATAATACTGTTTTTATCGCGATTAATTTGGTTATATCAACTAAGTTGAAATTGTAAATTGGCCACCGTAAAGAGTTAAAAAGCTGACGTTTCGCTCTGACGAATCTACAATTTCAACTTAGTTGATATAACCATAGCCTCATTACCCTTACCGACGCAGCATCATAGATTCTTTAGAATCTCACCACTTTTACTCATTTATAACGATTAGTTCGGTTTACTCATCCTCGCGACTGACTATGTTCTGTTATCTTACGTTTAAAATACATTTGTTTTTCCACAGAAATCCTAAAGGAGCGAAACAGCTCGATGCTCTTGAAAGTCGCTTCCGTGAAGCAACGTTTCTTCACGATCAGATCTGTGGAATTTTCGGGTGTTTCATCCTGGTGCATCGACAAAGTCAGAGCAAAGAAACATTATGTATTGTAAGATAAGATAAGATAAAGAGAAAAACTTTATTAACGTGTCAGGTAAATCTAGCTTACATTTACGTAAATTAATTGTGGACACCTAACAAATGGTGAAATAAAAGTTAAGAATTATGATTAAAATTCTAAATCCTATAAGTCCCTGACTGTAGGATGCTTAATTAACTACTGCATAGTGTTCAACTTTTACAATTATCTTCTATCATTCCAACTTGGTCTAATTTTCGGATTTTCGTTTTAAAGGTATTTAAAGATTCTACACGACTTACACTGTATTAAGGAATTCAGGTCCTTTGAGAAGTTTATTTTTTTATATATGGGGAAACGTAAAGAGTCTACGGATTTATTAGTGTCAAGCTTTTAAAAGAAAGAAAATCAATGTTTAACTAAGTTCGAATTTACTATTTTCAGTCACGGAAAAGTTTGTTTGGAAAATATGTTTGATCGTTAAACCTGACTGACAAAAAACACTGCTTACCACAGTTACTGCTTACCACAAAATAAAAAGTATGACTACCCAAATTGTCTCATCATAGGAGCTTTTTAAGTGCATGGCTGTTAAAAAGGCATGAAGAAATGATATATATTGAAACAGAGGATTATTATTATGTATATCCTACATTAGTATAATTTCAGAGCTGAACAAAGAGTTTCCAGCAATCTGATTGGTCAAGCAGTTCCTTATATGATGCTATATAAACTGCTCCGCGTGGTTTATATAAAATGTTAAAATAAAATGTTAACAAATGTTACTAAAATGTTATGGTCTTAGAAATTTCTTTGTTGCTCAGCTCTGAAATTATACTAAAACAAATATTTGCCTCAGGTTCTGTGAATATTGTTGAATAATCCCCTCGACTTCGTCTCGGGGATTATTCGACGATATTCACCTCGCCTCTGGCAAATAATTGTTAATTATTAAGTAGTGCTTTAAGAATAAAATTCAGAACATCAAATTGTGTGGCTACCCATTCCTTTTTTCCATAGACTTTCATCCAGGAATCTTTATCATGTCCAAGGCATTTTGCAGGATCTGTTTCTCTTGGTTTCTTAAGCTCAAAGCCAACTTCACATTTTCAGATTGTTGGGTATCTGAACTCAAGCATTTAGCAATATCTTTTTCATCTAACTCATTACATACTAGAACCTTTTCAATTAAGCATTGCCTCCACTGCAAAACTCTATTTTCAACATCCTCTCCAAGAAATTCACCAGTCAAGACTCTTTGCCAATGTCTTTTGAGGTGGTCCTCCTTCATTGCAAGAATTCTCAACAAGACAAGTAGATTCCATGACAAACCACTTCCCTCAGAACAACACAAGTCCTTGTGTAGGTCATTAACTGCAATTATTTCCCTCTTTCTTCTTGAAATACCAAATATATCTGGTAGAACAACTGAGTAGATAAGATCTTCAGAGAAAGCAACAGTATTATGCAAGTTCTGTGGCAAAATAAAGCCGTATTCTAAAAGCAGTTTTCTGTTATCATGGGGTCCATAGTTAATGAAAACTTGTGCTCCTTTCTTGTAGGGTGTTAAAGTGCTTATTTCATAATGTTTACTTTCTTGGTTGAATCCAGCTTGGACCTAAAAAGTAATGTTGAAATTCCTGAAAGAGTTATGATTTACTCTATTTAGTATTATCTATGTCAGCAAGAATAAGTCCTGAAATTTAAGGTACCGTAATTGAAAGGAGCTATGCTTGATGCAAGGAAAATAATTAGATGAATACCAACACTGAGAATACAACACAATACGATACGATGTTCTTTATTTCAAGAGGGTAAATACATGATTAACCCAGTAAAGAGTTTTCTAACACATGGCCCTCTGTAAACCCACCCATCCC